GGGCAACTGCAGCTTGACTACGTGGACCTTCGGTAGTTCTCCTATTTTGCCCTTTAGGCTCTCCAGGTTTTGGGCACCCTTCACAGGCTCTGGAGTTAGGCTGGTGTGAGTGGCATCACCTACCTTACCACCTGCTTCCCCACTGATACCCCCCACCTCGAATCTAGTTTAAAGCCCTCTCGATGAGCCCTGCTAGCTCATGACCCAGGACCCTCTTCCCCCTTTGAGGAAGATGGATCCCATTGGATACCATCCTGCCTGGTGCCATGTAAGGCTTCGCGTTGCCAAAGAATCCGAAGTTGTGGCAATTACACCAGCCACGGAGCCAYGTGTTGATGGACTGTATCCTGCTGTTTCTGTCCAGATTGCTGCCAGCACCGGGAAGAATGGAAGAGAAAATGACTTGTGTGCCTAAGTTCTTGATCATCATCTTGATCCCCAGCTCCCTAAAGTCCCTTTTGATTTTCCTCAGGCTACGTGTTGCCACTTCTTCTACTCCCACATGTGGGACCATYGGCCTGTGGGTCGAACCAGGCTGGGAGGCTTCCTGGTGACATCCTTAACCTGGGCCCCAGGRAGGCCGCWGACTGCTCTGAGAGGAGGGTCAYGTCTACATATGGACCCTCTGTTCCCTGAATCGAGGAATCCCCCACGACTGTAACCCACCTTTTCTCCCTCCTGCCTGTGGTCACAATCTGTGGGGCCTGCCTTTCCGACTCTTGCTATTTTTGGAGGAGATTCTCTCACAAACACATATTCTCTCACAAATATATGTATATAATTCTCTCACAAATAACATATTTTTGATCAGGAACCTTACAGCTGATTTCTTTCTCTTTTCTTCCCGGTTGATATGAAGAGACCCTTCCTCAGCTCTGTGATAAAGGATTTTCCCCTCCCTCTCTTCCGCAGATATTCTCCCATAAAAGAAATTCTTCCTTATAGGGTGTTCTGTCCTGTACGAGACTAAATTTATAGGGATGCCTTGATGTAATTCTTGGCCATGGTTCAAATCTGTCACTTCACTCGTACAACTTGAGCATTAAATTAAAAAAAAAAAAAAAAAGGTGCTTTTATAGTCATTTGGCTACTTTAAACCTTGGCTATATTCTATCTGTTACTCATTCTTCTCTTGATAGCTCTCCAGGAAGCACTAGTTGAATCCTTTTCTTGGTARTAATTCTAGACTGCTTTTCAAAGCAAAAACCTGAATTTACCCGTTACTGGTACTTTTGAGCCTTATTTCCCAACCGTTTAAGTTCTGGAACCCCATTAAGGGACTCTTGCTTTTGAATAATGGCTGATTTTTCCCATCTGCAGGCAAATGTTTGGAACTACTCTTAGAGCTCCTGTTTTGTTCTGAACTCCAAAGTATGAAGACTTAATCCACTTGAAAGCTGGGTCTTTAAATGTTAACATTTAAATTGGGAAGCATCTGGTATCATTAAAAGAAAATTCAAGCAAATCCCCCTAAAGTTTACTGCTGAATATAAGCCTGTCCTTTTACTTTATTAAGTACAGAACTCTGAGTAGATTAGTGAATTCCACTCTGAAGATATGAAGGAAAATGAGCGGTGCCTTGTTCATGGGATTAAAGAAGGAGCTAGAGAAGGCAGAGTGAAGTAAGAGTGTGTGTATGTATGGGTATTATCTTCAGCAGGGATGAGAATTTCCTCCCCACCAGCTTTGGGGTGCTGTCCCCTCAGGTATGTCAGTACAGGCGTGTGTCGGGCTGTATCACAGAGTGTGTCCCTAAAATCACCCAGATTGAGGAAGCTTCTTTGGATGCAGACTTCATGTGTTTCTTTGGGTGGGTTCTTTGTCCTGTGCTTTGTCCTGGGCACTCTGGATCAGGACACTCATGTTGCTTAAAACTAACCTGGCTTAGAAAAAATGCTTAGTATACAGACAAATCAGTTGCCTGGTCTGACTTGCTCAGACGCTTTTTAAGTGTTAAAATCAGCGCAGTGAAAGGAGCAGGAAAGTGTCAGGGCTGGGTCTAGGACAGGACTGCCTGGTTWGGCAGTGTCTCAGAGTTACCTTGACTTAAACCAAACATGAAACTGCAGACCTGCCAAAAACGTGGATTTGTTTTTAGATGGATCATCTCCCTGAACTGGCTGTGCACAGAGTTGCATAAATGCTAGTGTTGGTGGAAGGTACGGGGTGGAGGATGGACTGTGGCAACAGGTTTGGTTTGTGGCTTTGGTTTGGTTRTATCGTGGGCTTGGAATTACACCTATTGTTTTGGCTGAAAGAAGTCTAAGTGTTGATTAATGTCCAGGCTTTTCGCCTTCTGTGAGTTCTCTTCCAGGTACTAACATAACCTCACGCTGATGAGCAGTGATTTTTTTTTTTTTAAATAAGGAACAAAAACAATAATAAAAAAGATGCTGGTTGGCAGCCAGCTTCATTTTTACAAGGGTTATTTCACAGTCCTGCTTGAACAATATGTAATTCAGACTCCACTTCCTTCAGGCACTTGCTCAGAAGAATATCCCATTGGAGTGGGATATTGCTAAAATTGCATTAGTGTGGAAACAYGGTCTCTCAGCAATGTTAAACAGTAAGGGGATAAAATTACACAACTTCAGATGGGTTTTAGGTCTCTTGCTGCACTGGGTGGCCCAACAGAGTCAAGGTGGCCACAGGTTCCTGTTGCCAGGTCCTGCCTGCAGCGGGGATGAGATGATTCCCACCAGGCACATGTGCACACATACGGTACATCTATACATAGACATGTGGTTGGCCCAGTAGATCAGCACTGAAACCACGGCATTCATGGAAACACTGACAGGACCCCGGCCTCATCCTTTCCTCCCATGGGTGATCAGGATGAAAACTCATTCACAGGGAATACAGGCTGTGATCCCTCCGGTGACTGGCCTTGGACACGACTCTATTCTGGGAGCTGGCCCCTGGATCCTCTGGGGTATATCCCCTGGGATCCCCTGGATCCCCTGGGATATATGCACAAGCACATAAACCCGTGAAGTTCGTCAGTGAAGTTTTCAAGTTCCAAAAGAGTGTGCTATAGTCACTTACCATGGATCTGTTGCGATCTTAATCCCGAGGAGTATCCTTGAGAGGCATCCCAGCTCAAGGGGAGAGCTTGGCATGCAGCCTGCTGCAATGCAAGGAGAGCTCCATGGGCTCTTGGGCTGTCCCCTTATGTATGGGATAAGATGATTGACTTTCAGTCGTTCTTTCCTTTCTGAGGACTTATAGCTGGTGTCTGCACCACTGGCCTTATCTCCCCCTCAGGATGCAGCCATCAGGACTGTTACTGTGAGCAGGGGCACAAACCGGGATCAGATACTGTCACTGGTGGTTAACACCCCAATAGGGCTACGTGTGACAGGTCAGGTTGGGGGAGGAGGACACCCGTCACACGCACCCATGGACACGTGGACATATCGGGATCAGCTGGGCCAGGAGCTCTGCCTTCCGCTGGCCTTGGTGGCGTTCCCGGCCTGTCGTGTTTGGCTCTGCTCCTCTGTGCCAACAAAGAGGAGCCTGTCTCCTGAAGGAGACACCTTCATACAYCCTCAGGGTGGCTTTTTTATTCCCTTTGGTCACTAACATGTTAAGCGTTGGGGTACTGCACAACTACTTAAACATCAGCGTGTACTAGGTAAACCCTTTTGCGCCTTCTTAATTCTGATGCTGCCATGTGAAGTGTATTCTAACTTTCTATTGCACTTGCTGAAGAACAAGCAAATACGTCAAGTTTAAAGATAATTGTCAGGAGAAAAAAGAAAAAAAACCACAGTATTCTGCCAAGAGTGAGCGCAGGGGGCCATACGGCAGGCCAGGTGATTCAGAGGCGCYGTTTTCATAAAATGCTTCTAACCCCTTGAGTGCTTTGTTTCAAKTCTGCTGAAATGGACTTTGGACTATAAAATGCTTTATTTAACCTTGTCCCGACAGCGGTTCCAGCAGAGCGGACTGGTCAGCTGTGCCAGGCGCCCTGGCAAGCGCCAGGCGCCCGCGTTTCGCAGGGCGTTTAAGACGCAGCTGCTGTTCTAAGCGGTAATTCGAGCAGGAAAAGCCCCCCTTTGTTCAGTCGAATTTCTTGTTTTGAATATGCCTTGTGTCCGCTTCTTTTTCCCCTTTTTTCTCCCCTTTGAGCAAACAAGTTCATACCTAGATCTCCATTGCCTGAAGATACTTCAGACTATAATTAGATTTACCTTTTGCCTGCCCCGCTCCGGCTCCCTTGCTTTCAAGGCCGAACACCTTGAGCCCGAGGAGCCATTGCCGCTGTGTTTGCTCCCACCCTGCGCTCCTTAAGGATGCAAATCATGTTCTCACACTCACTTCTTGCTTTGTATATTCGTGGGCACCTTTTAAATATATATATATATATATATATATATTTTTCTGTTTCTGAGATGTGTTATTTAGTTTAGACCATAGATATTTAAAACCTGTTGTTTTTTCATGCTAAAACCTGGCTTAAGGTGATACGTTTCTGAGCAAACATCAGAAATGCATGCGCCTAACAGGCCCAATCTGTTAGGAGAAACGYGGTTTTATCCTGAAGGAATGCCCGGAAGCGCTGCCGCCAATCCAGCCTGTTTCCCGGAGGATACTCGGAGGATGCCCGTGCCCGCCCGCCGCAGCGCGCCCAGCGAGTCCGCCATGGCGGAGCGGGGCCGGGGCGGCGGCGCCCGCCCAACGGCGGCTCCGCGGCGGGGCCTGCGGCTCCGCGGCCGCTTTAAGACGCC